TTTTGTGAATTAAATCAAACAGGACTTGAATGAAAATAAAATGAATAAAATATATGATACATATACATCTAATACCTCATTTGTATTTTAAAAATAATCTACATACATAGCATTATTGCTATGAAAATACATAATAGGTACCTATGTGATATGTAATTACGCATTTATGTTCATCTGGTAGATAATTAATGTAGGCTAATAATATTTCATTAATCATAATTTACCTTGTGTAACTTGCTTTCAAGATACGGAAAAATCCTTGGCAAAGAATATCCCAAGATCCTTGGATCTAAAGCTAAAAAATATAAAAACAGTTAATATATTACCTATTTTTACATATAATATGGCCCATACCTACTATACGCAGAAACGTCGATTTTATCATTTTCTTTATGTAATTAATATCATATATACTTTATTAAAGTGTTAACAAGGAACTTTATATCAAAAAACATCTTTGTACTTATAAATTTCAGCCGAAATATCATAAACAAACTTCCAATCAAATCTAAACGGCAAAAATTAAAATGGCGCTCGACCTTGCCAGAGGCCTCGGGAGTTGGCACATTGCTGACACACAGACAAAAGAGGACGCCGACGTGCATAAAAATGTTCCGTAACAGAAATTGACAGAAATCATATAGAAATATTCAGATTTTTGTCTAGGACAGTCTAGAAGGCCATGCTTTCTGCCTGGACCGCGCCAGAACTGTTTCCAATTTTCCGGTTTACTGTCACCCCCCTGGTCTAAACGTCAAATTTAGTGGTTACGACAGCCACTGTACCATAAAGAGAAGACATGTGGCTATCTATTTCAAAAATTAAATTATTCGTATGTTATATAATAATGACCGGAGCTGTCATGGAATTGAACGATTAAAAAATTATCATAAATCATTTTTTTTTAAATGGAAACCCATTTTTTTCTGGCCATTGTGACATTTTGTTCAAAAAGCAGTATGTTATCGATCATCATTTTCAAGCCAACTTTGCGCTGTTTTATTTTTCGATTTTATTCGGTATATTATTAATAATTAATAAACAATAGATCTGGCCATATCAACTATTAGATATCACTAAAGAGCGGAAATACAAGACATATTTTTATAAATACACTTTTTAAACTCTTAAGCAGCTATATTTATAATATAGGAAATTCAAATAATTCCTTTTCTGACAGATGGAAATAAATGTTCTAGCTGTTTGACTCTTAATGTCAAAGGAAGCTAGATATAAAATCAAGACAAATATACGTTTTCAAACTAAATCTTAATAACTTAAAAACTATTTATTTTAGGTATAGGAACATGTATAGTTAAATAGTAACGAATTGAAAAGCCTTTTCACTAGTGAAATAAAAAAGTGAGTTTCCATTTGAAAAAAATGATTTATGTTAATTTTTTAATCGCTCAATTTCATGACAGCTACCACTATTATTATATGACATTTGAGCAATTTAATTTTTGAAATAGATAGCTACGTATCTTCTCTTTATGTCACAGTAGCTGTGTTAATCACTAAATTTGACTTTTAGGCTATACAATTTGTTTTGACAGGTAGTTTTTTCGTCCAAAAATTTTAAATATTTTTTTTCTCAAAAACGGTTAATGTTAGATATAGAGTGTTTAACATCAATATTCATAGAATTTTACAGAAAATTTAAATATGTAATAAAAAAATGGGGGCACCCATTTAAAATAAGAAAGTTGCTTCAACTTTCGCTATTTCCGGAAGGGCCGCCATATTGAAAAACGATAATATATAATAATAAAATAGTTTTAAAACAATGTGATGTGCGTGTCTTCGATCTAGACATTGTGGTTCTCTAGAAAGTTCTAATGCACACTCCGCCTGGGACACCCATAGCAATCAACAATAACAGTTCTTTGATCTTGCACAGGAATTGTTACTATATGACCCGTTTTTGAGACAAATGTCGCCACCATCTTTTTGGAAACACTTTGAGAACGGATAACTTTCGTCGGCTTTGGTTCATCTCGGAACACCCAAACAGCCGATTGACGTTTATTTTCGAGTTCATAAGAGTAAATCCAGGATTTATGACCACTAACAATACTGTATATATTTTTTGAGTTGTATATATATATATATAGGTGCCCGGTGGTGTAGAGGTACAGGCTCTCGTCTACCAATCTCAAGGTGTGGGTTCGATTCCCACACCCGGCATTTCATCAGCCGACTATTTTTATTAAAATAAAAATAGTTTGGGTACCTAGGTCGACTCAGCCTTAAATGAGTACTTGGGATTCACAATCCTGAGGTAATAATAGGCGGTTGAAGCGTAGTGCTAGCCACATTACCTTCCTTGTATACCGAACGGCTCTAGTATAGCAAGCTGTACCTTGCTGCTCCCAAGGCGTTAAACGCTATATACGGGAGCTATTATTATTTACCGATTTTTTGCACTTTCTCAGCCGTAGCTGGAAAACTTTTACCTACCCCTTATCTGTCTCTAGTGTATGGGGTTAGGCTCGGACGTATCGAAGGAGAACTTCATCTCATCTCTCTCCGCCCAAAAACTTTCTCACTATATGGAATGTTTGCAACAGTACTGCTTTCTGCATAGTTGTTATGACTGCTGGTGGTATCTGCAGTTTACTTAGGTTGTTTTGAAGGCTCTTTGGAATTATGCCTGTTGCCGAGATGATTATAGGAATAATGCTAACTTCTTTTAATTTCCATACATGTTTTATCTCAATTGCTAGATTCTCATATTTTCTAACTTTTTCAGACTCGGTCTTCTGCAGGTTGTAGCTATTCGGGCAAGCAACATCAATTATCTTTGCTGTTTTGGTATCTTTATTTATCAGCCCAATGTCGGGCCTATTATAGTCTACTGTTCTGTCGGTGAGAATTGGTCTGTCCCAGTACAGAACATATTCTGAAGATTCAAGGACTGGTTCAGGGTCATATTTGAAATATGGTGGAAGATTCTTCTTAAGTTTAAGGCTGTTGGCCATCTTTGAGTGAATAATTTTTGCTACTTGGTTGTGTCTGCCTAAATATGCATTAGCAGAGAGCGCCGAGCAACCTGTTGTTATATGAGCAATTGTTTCTCCTGGTTTATGGCATTTTCTACACACATCCTCAACTCCATTCTTCAGAATATTTCTCTCGTAGTTTCTAGTTCTTATGACCTCGTCTTGTATTGCTACAATAAAACCCTCGGTCTGTGGATAAAGAAAGCCTCTTCTTAGCCATTCCAGAGACCGCTCTTTGTCCACGTTCTGCTGCTCTAGGGATGCAGGATATCTTCCATGGAGAACTTTTTCCCGCCACTGTCTGTTCCTTAGTTCTATTAGTTGTTGGTTTTCAAACTGGTCTCGGCAGTCCTTAAGGTTTAACGCAGAGTAATTGCTATCTGCATCCACTATCATCTGGGTAAGCGGGCTATTGTTTTGTTGGAAATATGTTCTCATTTTGTGCTCTTGATTTTTACACAACTCATACAAATTCAGAAGCCCCCTTCCACCTTCTATTCTCTTAAGATACATTCTTTCCACAGCAGACTTAGGGTGGTGCATTCTAAATTTAGTCATTAGTACCCGCGTGAGTCGATCTAGATCACGCAAATCTGTATCAGAATACTTAAGTACGCCAAACGAATATATCAGTACAGGTACAGCCCATGCATTTATTGCTTTTATTAAGTTTCCAGATGATAAATTTGTATTTAAGAGTTTTGTAAGTCTTTTTTTGTACTTTTCTTTAAACTCACTTTTTAGCTTTGTGTGGTCGATGGACCGGTGTTGTGCCATACCTAAATACTTGTACGTCTGATTTAGCGGTAGTGGATCTATATGTTCATTGACGTTTTCTAATTTAATACATCCTTTGCTAATAGTTACGGTGGCACATTTATTTAAACCAAAAGACATACTTATATCGTCGCTGAATGTTTTTGTTGTTTTGAGTAGCGTTTGTAGTTGCGTTTTACTTTCCGCGTATATTTTTATATCATCCATAAATAGTAGATGGTTTATTCGTCTTTCGTCCTTTACTTTTAAGCGATATCCACAAGAGGTATTGTTTAATAGGGAAGATAGTGGGTTGAGTGCCAAGATAAACCACAAAGGACTGAGAGCGTCGCCCTGGAATATACCTTTTTTTATTTCAATTTCTCCTAAATCTTTGTTGCTTAAATGGAGTTTAGTTTTCCAGTTGGTCATTAGTATATTCAGCATATTTCTAATTTTGGGGTCGATTTTATAAATTTCAAGAATTTTTTGGAGCCAATCGTGGGGAACCGAATCGTAGGCCTTCCTATAGTCGATAAAGCATGTACTAAGGTTCCTTTTCTTTACTACAGCCTGTCTCGTAACAACAGTATCCACGGTGAGCTGCTCTTTACAGCCAAGTGATCGGCGTATGCAACCTTTCTGTTCAGGAGCTATTATGTTTTGGGGCTGCACAGTGTTCATAAATTTTTGAGTATATCACCGATGTAAACAATTTGTATACAACTGACAAACACGTAATTGGCCTGAAGTTTTGAGGGTCATTTTGGTTTCCTCCCTTATATAGTAAATAGGTGTTTCCTGTAGCAAGATATTTCGGGAATTCCTGGTGGTTCTGAAGAGCTTGTTCAAAACATCGGACAATCACGAGAGGTAGACATTTAAAGTGTTTCATCCAAAAGTTATGTATATTGTCCGGGCCTGCCGCTTTCCAATTCTTGAGCTTTTTTATGGCATATTTGATGTCCTCTTCTGTGATAGGTACACTAGTCATTTCTATGATGTTTTTGGCTTTATCTTGTTCCCATTGCACCCAGGCAGCTTTTTTATTATATTCTGCAGGCTTTGACCACATACTGCTCCAGTATTTAAGAAACTCCTCTTTATTAGCATTTTCCACAGTTACTTCTTCTTTGTTATGGTTTTCCAGTGTTTGATAGAATTTCTTCTGGTTTTTTTGAAATTCTCGATTCTGTTCCTTTCGTTTAGTTGTTTTATTGTATCGTTTTAGTCTAGCCCCTTTCACTTTTTAAATTTTTGTCTAAGCTCATCTCTAAAGCATGTAAGTTTTCGGTTGAATTCTGGGTCAGATTTCTCGAGCTTGATCGTTTTAAGAATATCCTCTATCTTATGCCTTACTTTTCTGCTTGTATTTCCGTTGATGTATTCATGTATCACGTCCGCCTTTGCTCTTAATTTGTCTATTTGGGATAGTAGTCTATTCTTCCAAGCAGGTTGCTTCTGTATTTTAGATTTTTTTGTTAGTTCTGTAGTGTAGGGTTGTTGTTGGTTTATTTCAAGGACCGTGATGGCTGCAGCGTATATGGCTCGATGTAGTTCATCAAGGTCGTCAACACTAGCCACTAATTTTTCTAGAGCATCATTCACTACTTCTATGATTTTAAAGGTTTCTTTCTTGATGTTTAGTTTTGGAAGGTATGGTCTACATAAGGGGTTGGTATCTTCAAATAGCTGGTAATTGTCTTTCAATTTGCATGCAGCTGCTGCTCTATTTTCTTCTGCTTCAGTCTGGCAAGATTCATGTGGTGTATCATTTGTCTGGCAAGTTTCATGTGGTGTGTCACTTTCATGTACAGCTAACATAACTGAGCTTTCACCTTCCTCTGAGTTGTGGATTTCTCTTCCAACGCTACGTCTGATTTCATCTATTTCAGCTAGTGCTACCATTTGCTTCCTATATATCAATCTCAGTCGATCAGCTAGGTTTTGTTCCGTGAGCTCAAGTTCTGAATGCCGTTGTTTAAATTCCATGTGTAATTTTTGTCTCCACCCCGGAAGTGGGTCATCCCTACATTCGTTAACGAATAGAAATGCTTTTACTACGTTACAATTCATTTCTTTGCTCCAATTTATTTTCTTTCTAGTTGTTTTTCTACCAGCAGCAACTCCTTGACTGGTTTGCAAACTAGTAGAGCTTCCAGGGGTGGGGCTCTCTGTTGTTGTGGGATCCTGATGGGTCATTGTGGTAGCTCTACGGGCCGGAATGCCACTCGCTCCATTCCTGGCTTCGGGAGACTGTAGCTCTAGTTCCCGGAACCCTCTGCCTAAATTCCGTTCACTATAAATTTCATCCGAGGCTATATTTTGATTCTCCATCATATTTGAAATGGGGACCCCTTTAGTCGCCTTTTACGCCAAGCGGGGCTTGCTCTGAACCTACTCGAAACCGGGTGTCAGACGGTAGAAGGATAATTTGGAAAAGGAAAACTAGGAAAACAAGGGTTGGATATAGGGATAGACGTGATGTATAGGAAAAGGGTCGAAGGACAGCGGACAGCTGCTCCACTATTATCTACTATTATTATTATTATTATAGTTTGAATACTGTATATATTTTTGACACCAATTGACTCTAATTATTGCTTTCTATTCTTCCGTCAACAGATGCGGTATCCAACGAGAAACTATTTTTTTACAGATAATTGTTCGTATAAAATTTTTTGAATTAAGGTCTCTGAAATGCCAAATGATGCTTCAATTTCGCGATATGTGACATGTCCATCTTCTTGGATTGGCTTACGTACAGCATCGACGTTTTCCTGGGTGACTGTTGGTGGTGGATCTGTTCTTGGATCGTCACTAAGACCAATCCGTTCACGTTTAAATTCTCGATACCAACGAGAAATTGTCGACTGATGTGGTACTTCATTGCCGAAAACAGAAACCAACTCGGCAAGGCATTCTTGCTGAGGCAACTGTCTTCGAAAATTGTAAAAAATTATTGCACAAACATTTAACAAACAAACAAACAAACAACGCTTTATTGTGCAAAAAGCCAACAAAAAATACACAATACAAATAATACAATTCAAAAAAATTTAAGTCTTTAAAATTACAAAAAGAATATACATGGACAATTTTGGAACAGTACGCAGTAAATAGATATAATTTTAAAGTTATAGAATATTAAATACTTGACCTTTGACCAGTGTGTGAGATGATCAAAATTTTAAAATTCAATATTGTTCATAATTCCACGTCTCAATTGGTTTCCTTTTAAAACACTTTTCAAATAGTGGCTGTAATTTTAGTACTAGGTTAGGTATTGAGTTAATATTAATTTAAATATATAACGTTAATCTCGCTTTGCAAAAAATTTAATAAACTTGTTTAAGCAATAAAAACTTAACAAACCATTAAATGTATATTTTATTATTTCCATTAACATTTTTTCAAGCAGTTACAACTTAGATTTAAATTTATTGGAAAATTCTGATCTATTACATAACTTCGAAGGCAAACTTAATTATACGTAGGTACTGTTACAAAAAATAGGAATATTCTCTTCTCTTCTTATAGCTAGCCACTGTTCGCTGGTGGTTAGGAGGTAAAACACACACACAAGAAATATAAGAAATATTAGTTTGGAAGTGAATATGAACTGAAATACTCTTCTTAGACTGACATTGTTTTTAATGTGGAATTTATATAGTCTTAGTTACGATAAAAAATATACTTGTGCCTTTAATTTCATCGAGCATTCTCAAAACACGTCTGACTCCGTTACTGATTTTACCGTCAATCTCGTTTCGGTATCCATCCTTCTTTCATTCCATCATGATTTAAATTCTTCGTAAACGATATTTTCTATTTTTTTACTTTTTTCTGTACTCATTTTATATCTTATAAATATCTGCATAATAATTATAGTATAGGTTTTATTTGACACCTGGGCTGGTCACGTATGCAGAATGCAAGAAGACCGCATACCAAAATCTCTGCTTTACGGTGAGCTTGTAGACGGTAAGAGGAGGCCGGGTGAACAACCCAAAAGGTAAAAGGACATTTTCAACGAAAACTTAAGGGGATTAACATGAAGAATGAGTGGCAAGAAGCAGTTCACAATAGAACTCAATAGAGAAGAACTGTAAACTCAGTTAACAGCGGCAACCAAAAAGTGAGGCAAAAAGAGGCAACAAAACAATCAGATTTTTGAATGTCCGGAGTGCGGTATGCAAATAACATCACGTATCGGGATTTTCAGTCACAGGAAAGCTCATGAAGGAAAACGCCTTGCGTGACCATCTTCTGATGCGTGTCGAATACTCGTCAGCGAGTAATGGCAATATGTATGTATGTATGTATGTATTTGACACCATATATGTCCTGCCAAGAAACTTGTAATCAGCACTTTATTCCTGCTAAGCATTAGCACTTTCTTTTTAGTTTTAGGATGAGAACCTTGCTATGCCAACGCCCGCCCCTGTCTGTATCTCTAACCGACGCGACAGTCTGCTTCTTCTTGAGCCAGAGTTTTACTGACCTACGGGTTATATATTTGGGTATTCTCGTTACTGACACTGGATTCAAGATAGGACTTGGTTCTGACTCAGGACCAAGATACAAGGTCATTAAATAATGAAACTGCGCTTGTAGAAGACGTCCTAGAGGAGTAAAGCAGGTAAAGAGTATGGCGTTAGTTAGCTCATATGTTTTTTTCGACATCAACGGTATCGTGATGATTCAATGAGTTCCAGAGGGTCAAACTGTAAACCAAACTTACCATTTGAAAGGTTAGACACTTAGATTAACAATAAAAAGTTAGGCAACACTACGAGAACGAGTTTCGTAAGAAACGGCCAGAGTTGTGGAAAAGCAAATGAAAAAAAAAAAGCATGGAAAAACGAATGAAGCGGTGTGGTAGCGAGGGAAGGGGTGAATATTGAAGGGGAGAATTTGATTGTCGAATAATTTTTAATATAAAACTTTTTTCTACAAGCAGTCTCGTTATTTAATAGCCAGACCTCTTATAATGTTATTAAATCCTTGCATTAATAGTTCGATACCTTGGATGCCTCTTTTTGATAGTTCAAATTCGTTATCTTGGATTTTCTTGCTTGATTGGTGCTCTTTGGTTTTTCCTTTTTTTTTCAATTTTTTTAATAATTTCTTCAATTAAATCCGTAGGGTACATATTTAGTAGCCATTTTATTCATGATTTTATATAAAATAAAAATTCTTCAGAATTGATTTGCTTTGCTTGATCATCATTTAGGTTAGTCCGTCCACTGCTGAACAAAAGCCTGCCTTAACTCTAGCCATTTCTTTCTATTTTGTGCCACTTGAATCCAGTTTCCAGTCACTCTCTTAATATCATCTGTCCATCGACTAGGAGGTCGTCCTCTGCTTCTACACACATGGCCAAAATTATTGCATATAACGATATTTTTATTTTATTTTGGACCTAATATGATTCTTTTAATATTTTTCGACATATTGCCTTACTACACGACTAACTAATATAAAATTAAAAATCTAAGTGCAACTAGGCTGTTATTATAATTTTATTTAATAATGAGTGAAAATCAACAAAAACAAATTTCATTTTAAACAGAAAATATTGAAAACAATTTTAAGCTCTCAAGCCTCAATGCAAGCTGTGAGACGACGTGGCATGCTCTCAATTAAGTTGTCCAGAAGATGTTGAGGATCTCTCAATTAAGTTGTCCAGAAGATGTTGATGATGTTGATCCAGAAGATGGCTTCCCATGTTTCGCGCGCAACAATTTTCAATTCATTTAAGGTACGGGGGGATCATTCGTTTTGGCAATATGGCGTTTTAGCATGTCCCAAGCATGCTCGGTGGCCACATACACATCGGTGGCCACCACAGTTTTCTTATACCCTCTCCCTCACAAAATTCGCAAACCGCTAAGGTGCAATGGGGAAAAGCATTATCGTCCATGTAAACAAATTCATCCCCCACTGCCCCTCGAAATGGACGCACAATAGGCTCTAAAACGTCTCTAAGATATGAGGCACCTGTCATTGTTCCATCAATAGAAACAAGAGGAGTTCGAGCTCCGTGCATTATACCTGCCCATACCATAATGCTTCCCCCTTGAAACGGGACACGGTGTTGAGCTGCATTCAAGCGTTCTTCCAGATGCTCTCCAGACCAAAGTTCGTCGCGAGTCTGACACTAGGCCTATTCTTGTTTCATCACTTAACATGACGAAATTACAATTAGGTCCATTTGCTCTCATCTCCTCAGCCCATTGTAGTCGCATAATTTTGTGCTGTAAATTTAGCTTCGGAACACGTAGAGACCTCCTTAAATGTAATCATCTGTCATGGAGTATTCTTGCTATGGTCTTTCTTCAAACATTTACTTCTTCAAGGCGAGTTAACTCATTTTAATAGCAGTACTAGAAAGAAGAGGATTGCGTCGTGCAATTAAGGATATTTGGCGGTCTTGCACAGCAGTAGTAACTCTCTTTGTACCTCTTCCAGACCGGTCTGTAACCTCGTTTGTCTCCCTGAATTTTTTTTAATATTCGCGAAACATCGCTTGGGTTAATTCCTACAATTTCAGCTATTGTAACTTGCCGGTAGCCCTGTTGAGACAGTGTTACTATTCTCACTCTATTAAACTGTGAAATAATGTTTGTAGGTATTTTAAGACCAAAATAACAGCAGAGTTCAAATTTCTTCTGAAACTCAAGAGACCACAAATCGAAATGTGCAAGAACTTGTACTAATATTGGGTCTGAACGATAAACATTATTTACCATATCCATTTTAACAAAAAAATGTTTATTACAGATTATCAAAGCAATGTATAAAAAAAAGATTCTTTAAATTCCTTTCCGTAAATTTTTAAATGATATATGCAATAATTTTGGCTATGTGTGTATAGGCCTCGTGTCTTGGTCTCCATTCCACAAGTCTCTTTGTCCACCGTCCATCTGTTATCCTAGCCACTGATGTCCTGCCCAATTCCACTTAGATGTAAGACAGATATCACTGCATCTCTTACCCCTGTTCGATTTCGTATGGTATGATTGGGTATTTTACTCGGTATTTTATCTCTAAGTGTAACTCCCAAAAATGGACTTTTCCATTTTCCGTTGCCTGATCTGTATTCTATATTCTATGTATGTTCTTTTTTGTCAAAGTAAGTGTATCAGCTACATACGTGAGGACAGGCAAGACATTGGTTAAAGACTTTTTTATATAGGTTTTAATAATAGAAAGCAGCAGTAGTTTAGGCAAATTCAATAAGGCGACCTATATTTATTACAACTCAAAACACTTTAGTCATTTTTGTAAAATTTAAACTTAAAAAAGTTATTTTTTTTTTAATTTCACTCCGTTAG